GGTGTGTGGATGTCGAGTGCGCCGAGCTGGATGAGCTGCAGCACGGATTCCTGCAGCCCCTCGGGATCCGGTTTGTCGAGCCAGTCGAACGTGTATGGATCCTGACCCATCGCGCACAGCTGCAGCACCGCAGCCGCCAGATCGGTGCGTACGATCTCGGGCGTGCCCGCGAGCGGCAGCGCCTCAAACGCCTTTTGCGTGTAGAGCCTGTAGCACTCGCCTGCGCGTTCTCGACCCGCACGACCCGCACGCTGCCTCGCCGCCGACTGGCTGATCTCCTGCACCTGCAGCGTCTCGACGGCGGTGCCGGGCGTGTACACCTTCTCCTTGGCCAGCCCACAGTCGACGACGAACACGATGCCCGGGATGGTGATACTCGTCTCGGCAATGTTGGTGGCCAGCACCACCTTGCGCGTGCGCGGCGGCGTCGGACCAAACACCTTCAAGCTCGCACTGGGCCCCAACGCCGCGTAGAGGGGGGCGATCATAAGCGACATGGGTGTCGGCTTGGACTCGGCCTCGGCCCAGGCGGGCAGCTCGGACGAGTACAGCTCGAGCGCGCGTGCGAGCGTGTCGATCTCGTCCTGACCCGTCATGAAGACGAGGATGTCGCCGGGCGGACGCGAGACGTGGATCTGCAGCACGGTGCGCAGCGCCGCGTCCGTCCACTCCTGCGCGGGCTCTTCGGTGTGAAACATGGCGACGTCGTGCTGGCGTCCCTTGACGTAGAGGATGGGCACCTCTTGCTTGGTGTTGGCGGCTGCGAGTGCGCGCGTGTCCGCTACGGTGCCGTTGGCCTTGAGCGCGGTGGAGGGCGTGGCAAAGAAGTCGGCGAAGCGGTTGGCATCGAGTGTGGCCGACATGACGATGATCTTGAGCTCGGTGATCTCGGCCTCGTTCGCAGGCTTTCCTCGCGCGATCCACGACTGGCGTAGCGCCTTGCGTTCGCGTTGGATGCGCTTGGCCAGTCCAAGCACCTGGTCCGTCCGCAACGTCCTCTCGTGCGCTTCGTCGATGATGAGTACCGAGTACTTGAGCAGCAGGTTCGAGCGCAGCGCAGATGTCGGCGGTGTCGTTGCTGGGCTCGAGCTCTGCGCGGGAGAGATGTCGCCGATCATTTCACGAAGCACCATACCATCGGTCATGAACTTGACACGAGTGTTGCGGGTGGTGCGGTCCTCGAAACGGATGCTGTAGCCGACCAATCCGCCCGCGGCGGTCCTTGCCTTGCCCTTGACGTTCGGAAGCACCGCAGGATCCGGTTGACCCATCTCGACGGCAACACGGCGCGCGAGCGAAGTTGCAGCCACTCGTCTTGGCTGGGTAACGCCGATCATCTGAACGGGCTGTCGAGAGGCAAAGCCAGCCTCGAAGAGGAACTGGGGAATCTGGGTGGTCTTTCCTGAGCCAGTCTCGCCAAGGATGACGACGGTGTCGTTGGAACGTACCGCATCGATGATGGCCTGCTTGCCCGAGGTGATGGGCAGGGCTGCGCGCGAGTCGAGGATGCGCGGGTCGACTGCCTTGAGCGCATCTCGGATCCAAGCGAAGGCGGCACCGCCGGCCTCGTGAGAAGAAGAGGAAGGAAGTGACTTGCGGGATGGTGAGGGTGGCGCTGATGATGATGAGGGGCGTGATGGCGAACCGTTGGTTCCGTTGCTCAGAGGGCTGTGTGCGAACGAGGAAGGCGCGTTTGCATATTTGCTCTTCTTGTGCTTCTTTTTGGTGGGCGAGGACGGGACGGAGGTGGAGGGCGAAGACGGCAGCGAGTCGAGGCTATCTCTGGATCGCTTCGCCTGTACCACGGCCATGTCCAGCGACATGATTCCTGTCGATCCGCAAGGTGGTTGGTGCAAGGAGATGGTGCTGGGTTGGAGAAGCAAGGCGAGCCAGGCGCCGAATTTCAGCGGCTTCCGGCATCCAAAAAAAAGTGGACCGCAGGGTCAGGCCCAGGCCGAGTTCCGAAGTCTCGATGTTCTGAGATTGAATCTGTCGCCCTTTGACGGCGTAACATGTTTGACACGACCTCACCCAACCATCTCAACCATCTCAACGGCGAGACTCTGCCGCTGCCTTCTCAGGTCAGCATCTCTGAGATGGTGTAGGTGCTTGACTGCTGCTATTGGAAAGAAGCTCGGCAGCTGATCTGCGGTTCGGGCGGCATAGAGAGAGCGAGAAACGGAGCACAGCCACGGGCGCGAGCGTGCAGCCTCTACCGTTGGAAGAAGTCAGCGCGGCTACCTGAACGGGCAGGGGAGGATTAGCAATGCCGGCGTTCGGATTGCAGATCAGCGGAGCGGCGGTCCGGGTAGCGTTAGCGAGCGGTGTTGGACTGGCATTCTCGCTCTTGGTCGACGGAGCTCCTCGGGCTGTGTTTGGAGTTGGCTTCGGCAGAGAGGAAGGAGCGCTGGAGCCAAGGTTGGTGTTCCTGCGTCTCAAGCTTCGACCTCGCTCGGCCTTGGTCGCTTGGCGCGCAGAGGGGGGGGGGGGGGGGAGGACGTTCATGC